TCCACTCCAGCACCTGATAGCTCATCAGATGGGAATGGATGACTTTAAGCCCGTAGGCGGTTGTTTTGCTGTGAAACAAAGGACGCCAAAGCAAAACTTGGGGTAGGGATGCCTCAGGGCACAACCTGAAACAATGCGCTTTACTGGATGTGCAAGGCAGGTTTCCATTGTTCACACATGGTTCTTTCTATCCACCATGAGCCCGTAGGCGGTTGTTTTGCTGTGAAACAAAGGACGCCAAAGCAAAACTTGGGGTAGGGATGCCTCAGGGCACAACCTGAAACAATGTGCTTTACTGGATGTGCAAGGCAGGTTTCCATTGTTCACACATGGTTCTTTCTATCCACCATGGAAAACCTCCCCAATCCTAAAAATGGATTCTGAGAAAACCTGGCATTAGGCAGGACGTTTCCCTTGCTCATGAATCCATCATAGCCAACTATTGCCTTCCTGTCTTTGCATTTCCTACTTCATCTGCCTGGAATACCCTCCTCCTCCCCCTCTCTCACTTTCTCAAGATTCAGCTTAAGTGTCACCGTCTTTGGGAAGTCTTCCTTTACACGGCTCCTTTTTTTTACCTCACTGGGAGCTGACTTAAAGTGTCTCTTTTCTGTGTCCCTCCTTCCCCCTAGGCGTCCTCTCTCTCCAAGCTTATTACACTCTATTGTGGTTGTAGGTTTACTCCCTCCCACTCCTACAAGGCACACTCTGTGCAGGCAAAGAACTTTTTCATTTTAGCATTTCCTTTGACTGGATTAATGCCGGGCAGAGTAGGTTTTTGCTAAATATCAGTAGAATGAATGAAATTTGAATTCTTCTACCTGCCATTCGACTTCTCCCTTTATCTGATCTCTCTCACCTTGTACAGATCCTCAATATGAGGATCTCTTCAAGCTGCCTCCTATCCTAGTCATAGATATCAATGCCTCCCAACCACCCACCACCAGAAGCACTCCTATGGTTGGAATTTGCTCTTTGCAATGGAGGATCTACACTATGGGGAACGGTGGGACATCTCTGTAAGAGGGTGCTAGAAAGGACTTACAGGATCTGACTTATGTCGGATGATTTGGGGAAGAGTTCAAGGAAGTAGGGCTTTGCTCTAGACTGGAGGCAACCCAGAAGTGGGGGTAATTCAACAATTGGCTATTAAAGACATTCACAATGCACCACCCCAAAATATGCCTCTTTGGCATGTTGGTTATTTTGAGCTGAAGGCAGTCGATAAACAGCAGATACAGGAAAGGCTGTCTGACCTCTCCCTTTCGACCTACAAGCAGGTCATAAAATTTCCCACAAGGAAGTTGCCCTTCCTTTACCAGGAAGAGAAGAACATTCTTATTATCAGAGACTGGGAGTCCACACTGAAATGGACCTGTACAAATAAGCCTACTCAAATAACCCTTATTTTCTATTGGTTTCCCTCATATATTTCCTAGTCACTGTTCCACAATTTACTGCTCCTAGCTCAAACCTCTATGTCTTGTCACATTCCCACAAACTGATTGTTCTTTGTATAAAAAGGTATATAGTCATCCCTCCATATTCATGGGGGACTGGTTCCAGGACCTCCTACAGATACCAAAATCTGTGGATGCTCAGGTCCCTGATATAAAATGGTGTAGTATTTTCATATAATTTATGCATACCTTCCTGGAAACTTTATTTATTTTTTGGCAGCTGGCTGGAACGGGGATCCCATAAACTTTAAATCATCTCTAGATTACTTATAGTACCTAATACAATGTAAATGCTATTTAAATAGTTGTTATACTATATTATTTAGGGAATAACAACAAGAAAAAAGTCTGTATATGTTCTGTACAGTCGCAATTTTTTTTCCGAATGTTTTTGATCCACAGTTGGTTGAATCCATGGATGCAGAACCTACAGATATGGAGGGCCAACTGTATGAGCTTTGGGGCATAACACCTTCTTCGGGTCTTCATTTTCATTTGTGGAGCTACCAGAGTGGAGAGCTGAAGTGCCAGCCTGCGAGAGCTGAAGTGTGGCCTGAGACCAGGAAAGCTATAGGAGCAGAGCTGCCCAAGGACTTAGGGACCCAGCCCCTGAACCAGCATGCAGAGGACATGGAACATGAAGTCGAGGTACATGATTCACCAGCTTTGAGATTTAATGCTTGCAGTGCTGGGTTTCAGACTTGTTTGGGACCTATTAACTTTTGGGGGGCCTATTTCTCCCTTTTTGAATGGGAATATGTACCCTATGCTTGTCCCATCGTTGTATCTTGGAAGTAGATAACTTGTTTTGATTTCATAGATGGGACTTTGAACTTTGGACTTTTGAGTTGAAACAAGTTAAGACTTTGGGGATGAGATAAATGTGTTTACCTCTGAGAAGGATATGAACTTTGGGGGCCAGGGCAGAAGTCTGTGGATTGATTGAATTGTGTCCCCAAAGTTCATATATTAAAAGCTTAATTCTCACTGTAACTGTGAGAGGGAGGGAAATCCTATTATGGTAATTGAAAGGTTGGGCTTTGAAGAGGTGATTAGATTGCAGGACCATGCTGTAGTGAATGGATTAAAAATGGTGGTCATGGGCATGGTTCTGAGGGCATTAAAAGAGGAGAGGTTAGTCTGTACTTTGGAGAGGTTAGACAGACTAACAGACAGGAGATGTTAGACAGGAGAGGTGAGTCTATCTCTGCTCCACGTTTTTTTGCCATGTAAGACCCCTGGGTCACTGTTGCCACCACCAAGACCCTCACCAGACGTGTTCCCTGGACTTTGTCCTTCCTAGCCTCCAAAACTGTAAGCAATAAATCTAATTTTCTTTATAAATTGCCCAGTTCCAGGTATTTTGTTATAAGCAACACAAACAGACCAATACATTTTCCTTTTGCAGTCTCCCATGCACACCCAAAAATATTAAATAAAATTTGTATGCTTTCCTCCTGTTAACCTGTCTTATATCAATTTAATTCTTAGGCCCAGTTAAAGAACCTACAAGGGTAAAAGGCAGTTTTCCTTCTACAGTATCTTAGTAAATGTCATCTATATGGTGGGAGAAATGAAGCAAAGCTAAAGTTGTGACTGGCAAAGCAGCTGAAGTTATTCACAGTGGCCAAAATAGGGAGATGTTTGCTCATTTTTGTGGTTTTGACAATGTTCAGATCTTTGCCTGTGTTCAGTCATAAGTGATCATCTTTTTCTCTTGATCTATCATGATCACAGTGTGGCCTTGTCTGGTGTTGATGTTTTATAAAATTGTTTATTTCAACAGAACATCGAGGCTTAACTGACAGTACCAGATGCCAGTGGCTGATTTTCTTTTTCTCATAACCCACACCCGTTCCCTTTACCAAGATGTTCCTTGCCTAGGATGCTCTTTCCCCTTCCCCAGCCAAACCCTACTATTTTTCCAAGTCACACTCCACAAAATCCCATCTTCCCTGTGAGGTCCTTCCAAATACTTCTTTCCCCATTGTATTATCTTTCCTGAATGAATCTATAATTTCTTTCTTTTCTTTCTTGTTTTTTTTTTTTTTTTTTTTTT